CTGGGTGTTATAAACAGCTGATGAATCAATGAACTTTACCTCTGAAACTAATAACATACTATATTTTAACTGAATTTAAATTAAAAAACATAATTTTTTAAAAAGTAGAGGCAAATAAATTCACTTTCTGACAAAAGTTTTACCCTCAAAAGACTTTCCCCAAGGGAACCTACTCATATACTTAAAGCAAGAGTAAAATCATCAGAGACAAAAGCACAAGACCTAAAAAGGAATGATTATATGCATGTATAAACATGTATACATATACACATATCTGTAGTTTAACTCAATAGTAATAGCTAATCTGTGATATTAAAAGGAAAATATACAATTAAAATATCACATAAAACTAGCATGCAAATTAACTGAGGGTGATTATGTTATTCTTAGGTTCAAAATAAGGGATACTGCTGATTTTTGTCCCTTTTATGTACATGCATATTAAATTTCCTTTTTGAGTATGCACAAGTTAACTTTCTTTTCTACGATCAGAAAGGCAAGAGGTCTTCCAAATTAGTAAGTAAGGAAAAAGTGACCTGAGAGATTAAAAATATATCCAAAAGAATTTATGGATGAAGAGAAAGAATACAAAAAAGGAACAAAGAGTAGAACAGGGGGTGTGGAAAGGGAGACAAACATGGTAAAAGAAGTGTAAACTAAGTGAAAATTCAGAATGAAATGTCAGATATAGGTTCCAATACATTTTTACAGTGGTTAAAAAGACAAAGACCATCAGAATTATTTTAAAAAGCATTTGCCTGATAAAGACTATCAGAATTGTTTAAAAAAAAAATTTGCATGCTATTTACAATAGCTATGCCTAAAACATTAAAAAATACTAATAAAGGTAAAGAACAGTACGAATTGTGATGATGAGAGCGGTTGCACACATCAACATATATAAATCTAAGAAACGGAAAAAGCCCCAGAGGAACGTATGGAAGATGCTGCTATTGACACGAAGTTCAAAAAGATAAAACACCAAATCATACATGGATAAATTAGACATATATGGTGAAATGATAATGAAAAGAAAAAGATAAGCCTGAAATTAAAAACGGTGCTAACCACAGCACAGTGGAGGAAGGGGACATAAAGTTTAGCAGGGATGCATGGGAACCTCAAACTTACAAGCAGTATTTCTAGCTTGCCCTCATTGGTAGGCAAGTGGGTACTTGTTTTACTCCAATGATGAAACCTTTTTTATATGTTTAACATTTTAAAATATAAGATTTTTAATAAGTATTGGTCATTTCAAAATATTGGTCTTGACTTTTTTCTCCAGTTCACATTGACACCAATGGGTACGTCCATCTCGTTGTTTGCCACAAAATAACTATTTGTCTCCTCACATGTGTGGACCATGGCACAAAGTATGTCAATTCCAAAATTAAGTTCTTCCACCAGTTTTGTGTTTAAGCCCAGAAATGGAGAAAAATTAGATTCCAAACATGACACCGGTCACGTGGAATAATGACACACAAAGTCTGCTCACTTGCTTGGCAGTAAACATTTTACTGCACATTTTTTTAAAGTGATTTTTTTGAGCTTAGTTATTCACTTCATCAGACCTAGTTCCAAAACCTCCTTAGAAATTTAAAAGATGTTAGCAAGAAAATAGGTCTTGTAAACTCCAAAACACACAGGTTAACCATAAGTAAAGGAATACAAGTGCTCGCTTCAGCAGCACATATACTTAAAAAACAAAACAAAATAAAACAAAAATGGAAAATAATGCCTAAGATCACAAAACATAGGACCTGATAGACTGGATTTTCAGAGACAGAAATTGTGCCCTTGACAGCTACATCAAATTGAGAAAATGAAGATGTATTCTGTAACTAATTTGCTATATACATAAATGACTATGGACTCCAATGCTAGAAATCAATCATAATAATGTCATTGTCTACTCTTTTATGTTTCCACCTCAAAGTGTTCGATAGCTCGAACATAATTGTTGCCTATGTCAAGATCCACTGAAAGTTATAATTGACAATTTGAAGTTGGTCTTTTCTTGTGTTCCAAAAGTAAAGCAACTATGTCTTCTGGTTTAAAATTGTCACCAAGTATATTGAATAATCAAAAAAACTTCAAAACAGAAGAATTTTGTGATCTTCAAATCAACACTTCATAAAAGGTGGCAAATAACATGGTATTTAATGTGCTGGTTTTCATACAATTCACTGCCCAGATGGTCAAAGGCTGATGTGGCGCATAATTGGTAAGCGGAGTTTCAGAAGCAGATAAATGGCTCTAAAAGTATTGCATATCTGGGTGGGGGTGGGGTAGACGGAGATTTCCTTCTTGTTACTTGATTTTTTATTTAATAAAACCCAATCCCAAACCAGTGTTGCAGAATCATCATTCATCAGTTCACGTGTTTCCCTCTTAATTCTAGTCACAGACACTGAAGAATTTTAACGCTGATTTACTCAATACTACAGGTCTAACAATGATCTCAAAAAGTGACAAAAAGTCTTTTTCTTTTGAAACTGAGTCACACAGTATATATTAAAAAAATAAGAAAATATGAAACCTGACTTAACAATAGCAGACATAAAACTAATAGCCAAGTCCAAAACTTTGAACATAGGCATAACTTCAACTTTTACACATCAAAAGTGAGTCATTCCTCAACCTGGAGAACCACACACAGAGATACTCTTGAGCCTCTTCTCTCTACATCATGTGCCACAATTTCAGGAAAACATCTCTAATGGTAAGATTTCTATCATTTCCAATTAAAAAGACTTTTATAGAAAACATGCACAGCTTGAGGATTGCTGATAATACATTCTAGAATAGGTCTTTCTTAGAAAAATAATACTACAATTTTTTTTAAAGTAAGGTTCAAGTGAAAGAGACATAGCATTATTTTCCAGTAGTTTAAGGTGAAATTACATATAATTGTATCCACTGGAATACACATGAATTCATACATAAAAACCTCTCACAGTTTTTCTTTTGCTACCATTTTCATCTAATCAAATTATGAAAATGAAGGGAAGAGTATACTTTTTTTTTAAAGATTTTAATTATTTATTTGACAGAGAGAGATCATAAGTAGGCAGAGAGGCAGGCAGAGAGAGAGTGGGGAGCAGGCTCCCCACTGAGCAGAGAGCCAGATGTGGGGCTTGATCCCAGGACCCTGAGATCATGACCTGAGCTGAAGGCAGAGGCTTTAACCCACTGAGCCACCCAGGCGCCCCCCGAAGAGTCTACTTCTAATTAAATTAAAAAGCCATGAATAAATCCATTGCTCAGTGGCTGCCAGATAAACTAAAACAATAGGGCATCTCCCAAACAACCCCAAAACATGCTCTTCCTACATTTAAACTCCTTAAGAACAGGGTCTAGATCTGCTTTGCTATTTATCCAAACCCTTCATCTTAGACAGTGTTTGGTAAGTATCAGGCACTCAATAATTATTTTTTAAATGAATATATTAAAACAGGTACACATTAAACTGGAAACCAGAGCTCTTCATGTATGATTATACCTGTCAAAATCTCAATTCAACCTAGTCTCTAACAACAGCCAAGGTGAAACTGAAGGAGACTAAAATTTTAACTTCATGTTTCAATCAACAGGTCTTCCCTGAAGACTTATATGTGCTGTGCACAGTGCCTGGTAAAGAGAAATAAATAAGATATACGAAGTTCCTGGCCTCTTCCCCATCATGTTTCCATCTAAAGAAGAGTCTGAAAGTGAGGAAATATGGAAAAGCAAAAATACAGTTGAAATATACTGAACTATACTTTGTTCACTCTTCATACGCCCCAGTTAAACCTCACTCACTTTCATGTCTCAGCAGGTACAGTCTTTTTGTTTTAAAAAGTCATACTGCCAAGGATTTTTTCATACTGTAGCCAAACTTCAGAAGTGTCCAGTAAAGTACTAATCAGAGAGGATATCAAAGAGATTCTATTATATATTATCTTCCACAGTCAGTTATTCTAGCCCTAAGAATGAATATACATATTTATATATATATATATATAACAGATACATTCTCATACAGAAACAACCATTCATTTATTACACAAAAGCAGCCAAAACTGATCTACCTTAGACCCTTACAGCTCTGATGCTGATTTTGTGACTGCTCAGACTTTTTTTTTTTTAAACAATTTCTGCTTGAAGTTTTTCAAAAATATTCTGAGCCTAAAAGTCTAAATCCTGATTTACAGAGACACCTGTCTTAGTGTTGCCAGATCCAGGACACCTAATTAAACTTGGATTTCAGATAAACAACAAAAATTTTTAATGTTAGTATGTTTGAAATTCAGAGTTTACTGGGAATCTTCTATTTTTACTTGCTAAATCTGGCAATATTAACCTATGTACTCCTATAAAGATATTTCCAATAAAGGAAAAGTTAATTAATGGTATTTCTATGTCAAACAAAATTTCAGCCAGTGTGTATATAATACCCAAATTCAGAGTGAAACTCAGTTTCTAATCATGATTGTTCTCATTTAAAAAACACTATACATTTTTTTTAAAAATTAAGACTTATTTTAGGGAAGAGAGAGAGAGAGCATGCACGTGAGTCGGGGGAGCAACAGAGTGAGAAGGAGAGAGAATATCTCAAGCAGACTAACCGCTGAGGGAGGAGCCCAATGTGAGGTTCAAGCTGACAACCCATGAGATATTGACCTGAGCAGAAATCACGAGTCAAATGCTTAACCCACTGAGCCAAGAAGGCACCCCATTTTAAAAAAAAAAAAAAAAAATTAAAAATAAATAAATAAAAGTTTTTGTTTTAAAGTTCATAGGCTATTTATCACTTGGTAATAAATACAAAAAGTCCTACTGACACTGTATTTCATCATCTGTATAAACATTACATATTCATTTTTTACCTTGAGACATCGTTGATATATATACCACCTATTTACAGGTGCTATGAAAAAAGTATTAAATAAAAATAACAGATTAATGACATCTTTTTCATTTACTAGCATGCCCTGATGACATTCAGACAGATGAATTACCTCACAGGATTACTAGTCAAAGACACGCGGAGGGACTCCAGGCACGTGACAAGTCTCTCATCTGCACACCCCATTTTCAGTTCATGGATGAATTCCTGAGGTGTGATCTGTCGCCGACTCTTAAGACTTCCCTGTAAATTTAAATAAATAAATAAATAAATCGATCTTCATTAAAGTAGTATCTATTACATTAATCCAACCTTTCATATTAGCAGCCGCACACGCCTACCCTGAGCGTGTGATTTCCTTCTGCCCACAAATATAGAGCATAATCCAAGATACTCACAGAAGATAAAAACACCAAAAAGATTTGCAAATTTAAAGGACTTTTTCAAATCCCAAATGTCATGGAAAAGAGTGATAGTACTTACCACAGAAATATCTGAAAATATAGTCATCCATTTTAGGCCCATGCAAAATAAAAGGCAAACATCAATACAGGAACCACCCTATTAAAATTAGTATTCTGAGCACCACCAAAAATGGTGGTAAGTCATTAATTGACTCAACTACCACCAGGTGCCCGGTTCTAAGCACAGTAAACACAGAGATTATCAAAACCTAAGTCTGGAAAGAGAAATGCAAGCAAGTGAATAATACTTTTCAGTGCAGTCTAATTCCTATAATGGGGTACCAAGGCACTCAGAGCCATGAGGCAAAGCCCTAATTTGGTGGAGGGAAGCTTGAGTAACACGGAGAAGGAAATCAGTTAAGAAGCCTAAGAATTAGGAACTCCTTCCAGACTAACACATGGCACACATGAAGGACCACAAAAAACAAAACAAAACAAAACAAAAAAAACAGAAGCACTTACAACAGAATGAAGCTAGCGTCCAGATCATGGAGGGACAGAGCACTGCTGTCCAATTAGATTTTCCAGGGCAGTATTGGAAGGCAAACTCTGGCAGATTTTAAGAGTTGGAGTTCACTCATCAGGCAGTATTTAATGCTTACTAAGTGCCAGACACTGTTCTAAGCATTATACAGAGAATAGTAAACAAGGGACAAAAATCCCTAGATGCATGGAGCTTTCTTTCTTCTCCATGGAGAAGAAGAAACCCAGGCAGACAATAAAGGAAATAAGCAGTTAAAATAGTTGCTTTGTGGCTAGTAGAAAGTGCTCCAGAAAAAAACAAAAGCAGAGAAGAGGATTAAGGAGCCCAGGAGGTGGTTGACAATTTCAAACGGTGTGCTCACAGAAAGACTCACAGAAGAATCCGAAGGCCTCAAACTTGTATATTAGAGTAAAGATCTGAAGGAGAGAGAAGTAAGCATACTGGTAATTGAAAAGTTGTGATGGAAGGGACTGTAACCTCACAGGCCACCAAAGGAACTTTGACTTTTATTTTCAGATCAGTAGCATCAGAAGACCCGTTAAGAAGACACAAAGACAGTCCAGATGGAAAATGATGAGCATGATGAACAGTCAAGTCTGGAATTGTATCTATGTCAATTACAGATTATATATCCAAGGGGAAGGAATTAATACATGTTCAAAAGCAGGTTAGTAGGGATGGCAGGAAATCAGATGCATTTTTTCATTTTTCTTTCTTATTATTAATCTGCCATAATATTGTCCAAGGAAACTTTCCCAATAATGCAAAACAAATTGGCATGGGAAAGACTGATGGTTTTCATCAATAGCAATGTGGTAATTTTTTTTTCAAAGATTTTATTTATTTATTTGACAGACAGAGATCACAAGTAGGCAGAGAGGCAGGCAGAGAGAGAGGAAGGGAAGCAGGCTCCCTGCTGAGCAGAGAGCCCGAAGCGGGACTCGATCCCAGGACCCTGAGATCATGACCCGAGCCGAAGGCAGCGGCTTAACCCACTGAGCCACCCAGGCGCCCCAATAGCAATGTGGTAATTTACTAAAGAAAATTTTATGAGCAAAATCTCAGAATAAAGAAAATAAAGTGGAAAGCTGAACTGAAATGGTGAGAACAGTGAAAATAAGTACTTTTTAAAAAAAAAAAAATCAGTGACTATGTTATGTATCATAAAAAGAATATATTTAACTTGTCCTGACATAGTGTTTATCAGCGTCTTTTTCTGCTTTAAATTATGTATTGCCTGTTCAGCACAGAAAATCTGGAAAACAAAAAAGCAATAGGGAAAACAAAAAAGCCCCAAAATGAATATTTGGTATTGAGGTGTTTTTTCCCTCATACAAGAATATGTACATAATATCCCATATACATTCATAAACACCTGTACTTTACTTTCAAAAATATTATAGCACACACACTGTTCCGTAGGCTACTTTTATTTTTAGTCATGTTTCATAAACACATCCTAGCATCTTCAATGAAATTTTTTTTTCCTGCCTACAGACTATTAACATACTTAATTACTTACCTAATTTAGATGGGTATCATTGGGCATGTAGGTTGCTTAGCACAATTTCTTGGTATCTTAATTTTTCAAGCTTCATGTGCATATTATCAGGCCAATATTTTTAATCCAAATGTATGCCAACAGAAGTTGAACCAGATGATCTTTTTGGAGTACTTGATATTTTTAGTATTTGATTCAGTACTCTGAATTTATCATTGAAATAATGATGATGGAGGGGAGAGGGGTTCAAAACAAACCAAAACTGTTGTGATCAACTGGTTCCCTTCAATAATAAATGGGTAAGACCATCTCATCAATACTTTTCAAATGTAAGAATAAAAAGCAGTAAATGAATTTGAACAAAAAAATAAAATAAAATAAAAAAGCAGTCTTCTGCCCCACCACTTAACCTTATCTTTCAGAGGCAATCAATTTCATTCCCTTAACTTTCTTCTGATAGCTACTTAATATGTCTAAATCAGATGTTTACTCTGCTCTCTTTAAACTTGTAAGTTTTCAGTATTACCTTTGACTTCTATTATGAAAGGTAATGATTTAGTCATCTTAAAACATTAGAATTTGTACTCTTCCACCATCTGACTATAGTTAAAGGTAAACTCAATTGAGCCAAAAGAGGTCAATTCCATGAAATGGAAGTTCTAGGAGATTCAGAGATTGTTGGATAACTGAACTTAATAATTCTTTAGTTTGTTTCATGATACAAAATACAACATCATATACCCCCATTCATAAAGTCTTCCAGCTACTATAATTCCCATGTTGGTTAAGACAACACGTTGGGTCCCCTAAAAGCAAGAACACAAGAAACATCTTGGCTCTTACCATTCCTGTTCAGTATTGTACTGCAGATACTAGCTAGTGTGGTAAGGCAACAATGATAGACCGTTTAGAAAAGAAGTAGTAAAACTGCCTATTTGCAAACGAAATCGTCTACATGAATTTAGCAAGATCACAGAATAAAAGCTCAAACTAATTTTATTTCTAAATACTACTCACATTGGGGAAATAAAATTTTACTATTTCTCATTTTTAATAGCATCAAAAGAGTCCTCACAAAATACTCAGGAAAATTTCTAAGAAAAGATGAGAAATACTTATATTCTAAGAAGTACAAAACGTTGTGAGGAGGTATTAAAGATGACCTAAATAAATGATGTTATGCCAGGTTCATGACATGCCAACAGAAGACTTGATATTTTTAAGACATTGTTTAGAAATACATTTTCTGAAGAACAATCTATATATTCCATGCATTCACCATTGAAATATCAGTAAGTTTTGCAGAAATTGAGAAGCAGCTTCTAAAATTTATATGGAAATAAATAAACAAAATATATACGGAAATGCAGGAAACCTAAAATAGAATAATTTAGAAGAATAAAGTTGGGGGAATTTCCCCTGATTTCAAGACTTACTATAAAGCTACTGTAATCAAGCTAGAATGGTATCAATAGAACAGACTCCAGAAATACACTTGCTCCTACGTGGTCAATGACTTTCAACAACAGTGTTAATATAATTCAATGGGGCAAGAATCTCCTCAACAAATAGTATTGGAAGAACTGGACATCTAAATGAGAGAAAGTGAACCTAGACCTTGGATCTAAATGTACAAGCTAAAATTTAATGTCTACAAGAAAACATAGATGAAAATCTTCACTTCCTTCAGGAAGGCAAAGATTTCTTAGGACAAATGGCATTAACTATAAAATTGATAAATTAGACTTCATCAGAATTTCAACCTTCTGCTTTGCAAACAACTCTTAAGATAGTTTCATTAAGACCATGAAAAGTAAACCACAGATTAGGAGAAAATATCTGCAGTACAAACTAAGAAGTGTGCAGAATGAGACTTAACTCTACATAACAAGCTACGTGAGCCCCTTACTGGTTTGTTAGTGCTGGCAGAAAACACAGGAGTCCTCGGTTAGAGACAAAGGACTTTATGATGCGTCTACTAGTGCTCCAACCCCCCAAGTCCCACAGGGGCACCACAGGCCTCCCTGATGGATGCCTGCACATGGAGTGCATTGCATTATAGGACACTAAACTTGGGGGACTCCTCAGTGTTTTACTGACGAATAACAAGTCTGCTCACTGTCTACAAGAAGACCTAACTACCTCTCAAGGCAGCTCACTGCAAACGCAACACTGAGAAATGGTTTGGGTAAGGAGCAGTTGGGCCTTGTCTTCTTGGGGTAACCAGAATAAATATACAGGGATACTCAGGGCACATGGCAGACTGTCTCTCCCAACAATAAATGTATTGCATAAAAATTTGTATTCAGAACATTTAATGAAGTCCTACAACTCAGTACAAATAAAACAGCCCAATTAAAAAATGATCAAAGACTTCCCCCAAAGAAGATATATGAATGGCCAGTAATGACATTAAATAATGTTCAAGATCATTTGTCACCAGGGAATTTCAGCTTAAAACCAGAAAGTAAGTTAAAAAAAAGAAAAAAAGAAAAACAAAAACAAAAAAAAAACAAAAACAAAAAACCCCACAAACGGAATATCACTGCACACCCCCAAGAATGGGGAGGATGTAAAGCACCTAAAACTCACCTACACTACCGATGGAAATGTAAAATGGTATCGCCACTTTGACAGAAAGTTTGGCTGTTTCCTTTAAATATATACAGAATAGTGGACTCGTCAATTGCACAACTAGGTGGTTTTATTTTCTTTGTTTTTTATCTATTTATTTATTTGTTTGTTTGTTTGACAGAAAGAGAGAGAGATCAAAAGTAGGCAGAGAAACGGGGGG